CAGAATGGTTTCTTCTAGTTCCATCCATTTGCCTGAGAATTTCAAGACTACATTGTTTTTTTTTGTTGTTGTTGTTGTTGTTTTTGTTGGGTTTTTTTTTCTGCTGAGTAGTACTCCATTGTGTAAATGTAACACATTTTCTTCATCCATCCATTCTTCAGTTGAGGGGTGTCTAGGCTGCTTCCAGGTTCTGGCTATTACAAATAATGTTGCTATGAACAATTCTGGATATCCTTTATTGTTTTAGGGGTCTCTAGAATCTCTGAAGATAAAACTCCTAGGGAGGTATGGTGTTTTGAATAAGAATAACCCCCATGAGCTCTTATGTTTGGATGTTTGGTTCTCTGGTTGGTAGAACCAGGAAGGATTAGCCAGCAGGTGAGGAGTGTTCTCCATTGATTTTTTTTGATTTTAGCCGTTCTGACAGGATTAAGATGGTATCTCAGAGCTGTTTTGATTTGCATTTCCCTGATGGCTAAGGAAGTTGAGCACTTTCTTATGTGTTTTTCAGCCATTCTAGATTCCTGTATTGTTAACTGTCTATTTAGTTCTGTACCCCACTTTTTAATTGGATTATTTGCCGTTTTGGAGACTAGCTTCTTGAGTTCTTTGTAAATTTTGGAGATCAGCCCTCTGTCAGATATGGAGTTGGTGAGTATCTTTTCCCATTCTGTGGGCTGCCGTTTTTGTCTTGCTGACTGGCAAATTGAATCCAAGAACATATCAGAAAAATCATCCACCATGGTCAAGTAGGCTTCATCCTGGGGATGCAGGATTGGTTAAACATACGAAAATCTATCAATGTAATCCACCATATAAACAAACTGAAAAGAAAAACCACATGATCATCTCATTAGATCCTGAAAAAGCCTTTGACAAAATCCAACACCCCTTCATGATAAAGGTCCTGGAGAGATCAGGTATAACAGGAACATACCTCAACATAATAAAAAACAATATACAGTAAACCAACAGCCAACATTAAACTAAATGGAGAGAAACTCAATGTGATTCCTCTAAAATCAGGAACAAGACAAGGCTGTCCACTCTCTCCATACCTCTTCAATATTGACCTTGGATTTCTAGATAGAGAAATAAGACAACAAAAGGAAATCAAAGGGATACATTGGAAAGGAAGAAGTCAAACTCTCACTATTTGCAGATGATATGATAGTTTACATAAGTGACCCGAAAAAGTCTACCATGGAACTCATACAGCTGATAAACCCCTTCAGCAAAGTGGCAGGATACAAGATTAAATCAAAAGGAAATACTAATTTTTTGTTTACATTTTTTATAAACCAATCCAAGTTCCCTCTCTCTCCAGTTTTCCCATTCTCCCTAGAATAATTTTTCTGTCTAAGAAATTACTAATTACCTATAGCTCTTATTCTAAGGGTTGGGCCCAGAGAGATTTTCCCCATCTTCAATGGGATGTCAAATGTCTGAATTGTTAGGTTTTGTTTAAGCATTTGTGTTTTGTATCATACTCCCCACAAGAGTAACAGACATATAACAAAACCCAGTACCAGAATGGAAAAGTCATCTGGACATTATTTGGCAGAATTGCATGACCCGAACCAGGGACCCACATTACAAATAACATCATATCAGACATCATTATTAAAATACAACAGAGTGTGCATTCAGCAAAAGATTTTATAAGAAATAATTTCATGATAAAGTATTTTTAAGAAACATCCATTTAGGGATGTTAGTGACTTTTTCCCTCATGCAGTTATAAATCTGTTGATAGTAGTATTTAGAGGCACTGAATCCTATAATCCTTTTGATCTTTGGAGTTATTTGTTTTACTGACTAATTTTTCTACTTGCTCTTTCATAGAAACCTTTTATCACTGACTTTCAGGTTTCTGATGAGAGAGATGGAGTACAGTTTTCATCTTTTCATGGCTGACTTGGTAATGTGTTTGTTTTAGTCAAAAGAATATTTGTGTGAGTATATAAGCTAAACATCAAAAAGCATTTGTTTATTAAGGTTCTGTCTGTATCCATTATATTGAAACAACGTTTCCTTATGAGGCTGCTTCATCGTCCTGGGACCTAGAGCTAAATGAAAAGGTTCAGTGATGCTTGCAGCTGGAGCTTAAGTC